AGAAATCACTAAAATTGAAAACAGAAATCAATGAAATGAAAAGCTGGTTCTTTAAAAAGATTAGTGAAATTAACAAACCTCTCGCAAGTTTAACAAATCTAAGAAAGAGAGAAGACACAAATTACCAATATCATGAATGAAACAGGGAATAAAACTACAGATATAGCAGATATCACATGGATAATGAGGAAATACTACAAACAGCGTCACATGCAGAAATTTGACAACTTAGATGAAATGAAACAATTCCTTGAAAATTGCCAACCACCGCAACTCCCCCGAGATGAAATCGATACTATGAATAGCCCTATAACTAATAAATAAATTTAACTCATAATTTTAAAACTCCCTAAAAAGAAATCTCCAGGCCCACATGATTTCACTGAAGGGAATTTCAACAAATGTCTAAAAAAGTTTTAACACAAACTTTACACAATTTCTTCCAGAAAATAGGAAAGAAGGGAACACTTCTCAATTTATTTTATGGACCTAATATTACTTGATATCAAGCCAGCAACAACAGTACAAAAAAAGAAAACTACAGACCAATATCTTTCATGAATATACATGTTAATTAAATTTAGCAGCATATCAAAAGAACACCACATGGCCAAGTGGAGTTTATTTCAGGAATGCAAGGTCAGTTCAATATGTGAAAATCAATCAGTGTGGCCCATCAACAGCTGAAAGAAGGCAAATCACATGATTATATCAATTAACGCAGAAAACACATTTGACAAAATTCAATATCCATTTGTAACAAAAACTCTCAGAAACAGGAATAGAGGGGAATTTCCTCATCTTGATAAACAGCACCTACCAAAACTACAGCTAACATCAAACTTAATGATGAAAGACTGAATTCTTTCCACTAAGATTAAGAATAAGGTAAGGAAGGCCAAACCCAATGGCTGAGTGGTTACGGTTGCATGCACTCCACTTTGGCGGCCCAAGTTCATGGGTTCAGATCCTGGGCACAGACCTACCCCACTCACCAACCAGGCTGTGGCAGTGTCCCATATATGAAAAAAAATAGAGGGGGATTGGCACTGATGTTAGCTCACAGTTAATCTTCCTCAGGCAAAATAAAGAGTAGGATTGGTAACAGATGTTAGCTCAGGGTGAATCTTCCTCAGCAAAAAAAAAAAGAACAAGGTAAGGATGTTAGTAAGGATGTCTGTTGTCACCACGATTATCAACCTAGTACTGGAAGTTCTAGCTAAGGCAATAAGGCAAAAAAAAAAAGTAAATAAAAGGCTCAGAGATCAGAAAAGAAGAAGGTCAAGTGATGCCCTTTGCAGATGACATGATGGCCTCTGTAGAAAACTCTATAGAATCCACCGAAAAAACTCCTGGAACTACTAAGAGACTCCAGTCAGGTCACAAGGTAAAAGACCGAAATACAAAAATTAATTATATTTCTATACACTAGCATGAATACATGGAAACCAAAATCAAACATACTGTACCATTTACAGTCTCTTAAAGAATGAAATACCTAGGGCTGGCCCGTGGCCAAGTGGTTAAGTTTGCGTGCTCAGCTTCAGTGGCCCAGGATTGCACCAGTTTGGATCCTGGGCACAGACATAGCACCACTCATCAGGCCACGTGCTGAGGCAGCGCCCCACATAGCACACCCAGAAGGACCTAGAGCTAGATATACGACTATGTCCTGGGGGCCTTTGGGGAGAAGAAGGCGAAAAAAAGAAGACTGGCAACAGATGTTAGCTCAGGTGCCAAGGTATAAAAAAAAAGGAAAAAACAGCAGTCCTTTTTTTAAAAAAATGAAATACTTAGGTAGAAATCTAACAAAACATGTACAGGATTTGTATCCTAAACCTTAAAAAATGCTGATGAAAGAAATCAAAGACCTAAACAAATAGAAAGATACACTGTGTTCAAGGACGGTCATACTCAAGGTAAAGATGTCAATTCTCCCCAAGTTAATGCACAGGTTTAACATAATTCCTTTAAAAAAAGCTCAGCAAGATATTTGTAAATATGAACAAAATTATTCCAAAATCTATATTTTGGAACTAGAATAGCTAAAACAATTTGAGAAAAGAAGAAGAAAATGGGAGGAGTTACTCTACCCAATTTTAAGACTTGTTATATAGCTATAGTAATCGAGGCTATACGGTATGGGCAGAGGAGGAGACACAGGCCAATGGAACAGAACAGAACAGAAAACCAAAGTACGGCCCCACACGAGAACAGCCAACTGATTTTTGACAAAAGTGCAAAAGTAATTCTACGGAGGAAGGTAGTCTTTTCAGCAAATGTTGCTGGAGTGATACACGTCCAGAGGCAAAAATAAATGAATAACCTCGACCTACACCTCACACCTCACATCTTCTACGAAAATTAACTCCAAATAGATTACATACTTAAATGTAAAGTGTAAAACTATGGAACATTTAGAAGAATACATAGGAGAAAATCTTCTGAACCTTGGGCTTGGTAAGGAGTTGTTAAACTCGACACCAAAAGCACAATTCATAAAAGAAAATAATTGGTAAATTGGATGTCATCAAAATTTAAAAATTTCGTTCTGTGAAAGACCTTATTAAGATGAAAAGACAAGCTACAGAATGTGTATTAGTTCTCTGTCGCTTCCATAACGACCACAGATTTAGCAGCTTAAAGCAACACCCATTTATCATCTCACAGCCTGTGGGTCAGAAGTCTCGTAGGCTAGTAGGCTGGTAGGCTCGGCTGGTTTCTCTGCTCTAGATCCCCCATAGCAGGAGGGTCGGAGTCTTTTCTAGAGGCTCTGATGATTAATCTGCTGCCAGGATCATTCGGGTTTTTGGCAGAGTTCAGTTCCATGCGGTTGTAGGACTAAGGTTCCCATTTTCTTGCTGGCTGTTGACCCAGGGTCATTCTTAGCTTCTAGACATTTCCTGCATTCCTTGGCTCATGGTCCCCCTCCCTCTGTCCTCAAAGTCAGCAATGGTTGATTGAATCCTTCTCACACTTTGAATCACGATGACCTCCTCCTCCCCCTCCCGATTCTTCTTCTCCTTCTCTTTCTCCTCCTCCTTCTGCTTCTTCTTCTTCCTCTCTTTCTTCTCCTTCTTCCTCCTCTCTCTCTATTTCCTGCTTCCTCTTCTACTTTTAAGAGCTCATGTGATTACACTGAGCCCATCCACATGACTAAGGATAATCTCTCTGTTTTAAACTCAGCCACTTAGTTACTTTAATTGCATCTGAAAAGTCTCCTCACAGCAGTACCTAGATTAATATTTGATTGAATAATCAGGCAATGGGAGCCTTGGGGGGATATCTTTAAAATTCTGCCTATCACAGACTTGGAGAAAACCAAGCATATTTGCAAACCATGTATCTGATAAAGGACTCATATCTAGAATATACATATATATATATATTTTTTTTTTTTAACCCTCAAAATTTAACAGGAAAAAAAATCCAATTAGATAATGGACAAAGAGATGAAGAGACATTTCACTGTAGAGGATATACACACGGCGTATAAGGACACAAAAAGATGTTCAACAGCACTAGCCCTTAGAGAAATACCAATTAAGACCATGATGAGATATCACTACATACCTATCAGAATTGCTGAAACAAAATTAGCAACAATACCAAATGCTGGTGGGGGTTTGGAGGAACCCCTTATACATTGCTGGTGGGAATGTAAAATGGTACAACCACTTTGGAGAACAGTTTAGCAGTTTCTTAAATAGCTAAACATACACTCACCTTATCATCCAGCAATTGCAATTATGGGTATTTATCCCAGAGAAATAAAAACTTATGCCTACACAAAAACTTATACACAAATTTTTATTGTTGCTTTTTTTTAATAATAGCCAAAAATTGGAAATAATCAAAATGTCTTTCAATGGGTGAACGGTTAAACAAAGTGTGATATAACCATACTATGGATATATTAGGGTTCTCCAGATTATCTAGATACAGATGTAGACATAGGTGATATAGATGTAGACAGATGAGAGAGAGAGATCTGAGCAAGCACCTCAGCTGGTCATGGTTCTTTACCTGATGGAATGACCCAAACCTTCGTTCCTGAAGGGTCTGGGTCATTCATAGTCCTGCCTAGATTGGGTTGTTGTAGTTTTCCGTTGACACTCACAGACCATAGTAATACTAAGAGATACCCTACAGAACCCCCTTTACTCCGGTTGGACTCCTCCTTACCTCCTCTGTTGAGTAGGAATCCAATTTTCCCTTGGTAGTCAGAATCAAATCACCCCAGCCAGCAGAGTAACTCTCTTTTTCTCCTGTTGAGTCAGAGGCATGAGGAGCCCAAAGTGGCAGGTGGTGGTCTTAACTTCCAGTTCAATGGAATCATTGTCGTGTCTCCCAGTGGAAGCATTCCTCTCTTTGCAACTAGGCCAGCAAAGCATATGGTCGCGGAGACAGGAAGCAAGAGTTTTGCTCCTGAGTTTCTAGGGGTAACAGGGAGTGGTGTCACTTCCATATCCACCCCTTGATCCCCAGACTCGTGAATTCTGGCTGTAGGAGAAATACCACTATATACTGGATGCTGACTTAGAGCGTCTACAGCCTCCTAGAGAACCTTTCCCCAGCCCTGCAAGGTATTGCCACCTCGCTGGCACTGTAACTGAGTCTTTAAAAGGCCATTTCACTGTTCTATCAAGTCAGCCAGATAGTGCTTCAGGATGGACGGAAACATGGTAAGACCCATGAATTCCATAAGCATGAGCCCATTGAGACGCTTGACTGCTGTGAAGGGAGTTCCTTGCTCAAAAGCAATGCTGTGTAGACACAGAAAGACAAATACCATATGATTTCACTCACGTGTGGAAGATAAACAAAGAAACACATGGATAAGGAGAACAGATCAGTGGTTCCCAGAGGAGAAGGGGGTGGGAGGAGGGTGAAAGGGTTAAAGGGGCACATACGTACAGTGATGGATGGAAACTAGACTGTTGGTGGTAAACACAATGCAGTCGATACAGAATATGAAATATAGTGATGTACGCCTGAAATTTACACAATGTTGTAAGCCAATATGACCCCAACAAAATAATTTTTTAAAAAAAGCAATGCTGTGTGGAACACCATGAAGTGGATAAGGCATCCTGTAAGTCCACGATGCATGGTAGTTTTGGCAGACACATTGTGTGCAAGGAAGGCAAATCCATGCCCAGAGTAAGTGTCTGTTCCAGTAAGAACAAAACCCTGCCCTTTCCATGATGGAAGGGGTCCAGTGTAATCAGCCTGCCACCAGGTAGCCGGATGATCACCCCGGGAAATGATGCCACATCAGGGACTTAGTGTTGGTGTCGGCTGCTAGCAGCTGGTCACTCAGCATCAGCTGTAACCAGGTCAGCTTTGGTGAGTGGAAGCCCGTGTTGCTGAGCCCATCCCTGCCACCATGACCACTTTGTTCATCAGCCCATTTGGTGATGACAGGGGTGTCTGGGAAGGAGGCTGACTGGTATCCAGAAATTTGGTCATCCTATCCACTTGATTATTAAAATCTTCCTCTGCTGAGGTCACCCTTTGGTGAGCATTCACATGGGATGTAAATATCTTCATGTTCTTTGCCCATTCAGAGACATCTAGCCACACATCTCCTCCTGGATCTCTGTCACCAATTTTCCAATCACGTTCCTTCTGAGTCCCTGACCGTTGGCCGCAGCCCATGAATCAGTATATAATCGCACATCTGGCCATTTCTCTTTCCAAGCAAAATGAACCACCAGGTGCACTGCCTGAAGATCTGGCCACGGAGACGATGTCCCAGGAAGGGCTGTAGAGCTGCAGCTGTCCACTTCCAGGTGCTTCCTGCGTATTGCCGGAACCATCTATAAACCAGGCCCAACTCTCCTCTGACTGTGGGGAACTCCCCATGAAGCCACAGGCACAGGCTGGGAGAGAAAAGGTAGTGTCGCAGGAGTGGGAAGCGTGGGCACCTGAGCCACTTCTTCATATAACACGTTTGTGCCTTCAGGGACTGCTCAGGCCCTCTCATGTAGGTACCACTCCCATTTGATGATGGAATATTGCGGTGCACATCCAAATTTATGACTTGGTGGGTCAGATAATACCCAGTTCATGATGGGCAGCTCAGGTCGCATGGTAACTTGGTGGCTCATGGTTAAACATTCAGTCTCTACTAAGACCCAGTAGCAGACCAAGAACTATTTCTCAAAGAAAGAGTAGCTATCTGCAGAGGATAGCAGGGCTTCACTCCAAAATCTGAAAGGCCTGCACTGTGATTCACCTAGAGGGGTCTGCCAAGGCTCCCAACAGCTTCCCTGTCAGCCACTGACATCCTCCATCACCATTGGGTCTGCTTCATCTTATGGCCCAAGTGACGGAGCAGCGAGCGCAGCAGCCTGGACCCATTGCAGAGCCTTCTCTTGTTCTGGTCCCCACTCAAAACTAGCAGCTTTTTGGGTCACTCCGTAAATGGGCTGGAGTAGCACACCCAAAGGAGGAGTATGTTCCCTCCAAAATCCAAAGAGGCCCCCTGGCCGCTGTGCCTCTATTTTGGTTGTAGGATGGGCCAGATGCAACCTTCGCCTTAGAAGGGCTATCTCAACATGCCCCACACCACTGCACCCCAAGAAATTTCACTGAAGTAGAAGGCCCCTAAATTTTTTTTTAGTTTATTCCCACTCCCTGCCACACAAACATTTTACCAATAAGTTTAGCGTAGTGGCTACTTCTTACTCGCTGGGTCCAATCAGCATAAGGTCATCAGTGTAATGGATCAGTGTGATTTCTTGTGGAAGGGAAAGGCGATCAAGATCTCTGTGAACTAAATCATGACACAGAGCTGGAGAGTTGACATAGCCCTGAGCTAGAACAGTGAAGATGTGTTGCTGGCCTCGCCAGCTGAAAACAAACTACTTCTAGTGAATCTTACGGACAAGTATGGAGAGAAAGGATTTACCAGATCAATAGCTGGACACCAGGTACCAGGGAGTGTTTTAATTTACTCAAGCAATGAAACCATCTGGCACAGCAGCTGTGAGGTCACCACCTGGTTACACTTAGAATAATCCACTATCATTCTCCAGGATCCATCTGTCTTCTGCAGAGACGAAACAGGAGAGTTGAATGGGGATGTGGTGGGAATCCCCACCCCTGCATCTCTCAAGTCCTTGATGGTGGCACTAATTTCTGCAGCCCCCTGGGCACGTGCTACTGCTTTTGGTTTTCCTTGGTAGAGGTGATTCTAGCGGCTTCCACTTGTCCTTCAGATGTAATCAGATTAGAGAACTAATTCCAGAAACCCCAGAACCAATTCAGAAAACTCCCTTCAGTTTCTGTTCTTCTAGGAAAACTCTCAGCACCAAAATCTATATTAGTCAGAGAAACAGGACCAATAGGATGGAGAGAGAGAAAGCCGATTTATTTTAAGGAATTGGCTCACGCATTTGCAGAGGCTGTGAAGTCCAAAATCCGCAGCTAGGCTGGCAGGCTGGAGGCCCGCAGGAGAGTTATGGCTGCAGCTCACATCTGAAGGCAGTCTGCTGGCAGCACTGTCTTCCTTGGGAGAGGTCAGTCTTTGTTCTTTTAAGGCCTACAACCGATTGGATGAGGGCCACCCACATTATTGAGAGTAATCTGCTTTACTCAAAGTCTACTGACTTAACTGTTAATCTCACCTTAAAAATATCTTCACAGAAATATCTGGAATAGTCTTTGATCAAATGTCTGGGTCCCATCACCTAGCCAAGTTGACACATAAAATTAAGCATCACAGTAGAGCTCTGCTCTGCAAGAAAAAGGGATGGACTATTGGTACATGTGACAACTTGGATGGGTCTCAAGGGAATTCTGCTGATAGAGAAAATGCAGCCTCATAAGGTCACGTACGGTATGATTCCGTCTTCACAACATTTTCAAAATAATAACAACAGACATGGAAAACAGATTAGTGGTTGCTAGGCGTTAGGGACGGTGGCGAGAGAGAGGAATGTGACTGTAAGGGGGAGCGTGAGGGGATCTGCGTGGTGATGGGGCTTTTCTGTATTCTGATTGTGGTGGCAGTTTCAGGCATCTATGCGGTAGAATGACATAAAACTATAAATGCATGTTGCACCAAGACCAGTTTCCCGGTTTGGTATTGGACCATAATTCTGTAAGACAAACTGTATCTGCACTATCTTTGCAACTTCCTGTGGATCTATAATAAATCCAGATAAAAGTTTTTTAAAAAAAGAACCAAAAGGACGTATGGCAGAGTCAACATGCAAATTGTCAACAACAAACATGTATTCCTCTTGAAATCATACCAGCTTTTTTTTTTTTTAAAGATTTTATTTTTTTTCCTTTTTCTCCCCAAAGCCTCCCGGTACGTAGTTGTATATTCTTTGTTGTGGGTCCTTCTAGTTGTGGCATGTGGGATGCTGCCTCAGCGTGGTTTGATGAGCAGCGCCATGTCCACGCCCAGGATTCAAACCAACGAAACTCTGGGCCGCCTGCAGCGGAGCGCGCGAACTTAACCACTCGGCCACGGGGCCAGCCCCGAAATCATACCAGCTTTTTTTCTTTGTCTTTTTGTTTACAAAAATGTCCAAAACTTTTCCCTTGAGAAGGAATTTAGACACATCCCAATTAACGCCGTGAAACCTGTAACTAACTTTGGAGGAAGCGGGTAAGGGCAGACGACTGCCTGACCAGCGAGCACTAGGATGCCCTCCGCCTGAATACCACGCAGCCACAGAGGCGGCCGAGCCCCCGGTTGCCAGGGCCCTGAAGGACAGTCGGAACCCCTTGCTCTCCTCCTCATTCTCTCCCTAAGTGACCTGGGGTTGCGGGGGCGGCAGCGACGGGCCAATGGCACACAGAAAGCAGTCCCTTTGAACCAGAATTTGGTTTTTTCCATTTCCTCACCTTCATAATACAAACTATTTCCTCTCCTTTCATTTCTATCTAAACCAAAGTCTGTAAATAAATAAGCACCTCTGTCTGCGAAGGCCACACCAATCCGTGTTAACAGCTTCCATTCGTGTGAACATCTTAAGCCCACGGAGATGAGCAACTCCTCCCAAAGCAAGTTATTGACAACTGTTAGTGATGACGACCGAAAAACACGCGTGCGATTTATTTTTGAAGCCACGTAGATTCATTTAAGCTGAGCTTCTAGTTGTGGGACTAGACTGCATTCAAGTTACCTCTCAAACGGTACTCTAAAATAAGATAAGAACCATACAGACAGGACTTTAGGGGAGCCCAAAGGAATGCCAAACAAGAGGTCAGCAACCGATGGCCTCCAGTCAAACATGCAGGATAGGTTGGGGATGACACGCCCAGGGCCAACTCATGGGAAAATGGTCCACAGCAATGAGCTTTCCCTATAGTGTCCCCAGTCCCCTTCTAGCAGTCTCACCTCCTGGTTGCCTGTCAAGATCCTCCTCCTCTCTGACTCTGTCAGTCAGGCGTTAACTAATCTCGAGGGCTCTGCCCCTCCTGTGGGGGCTTCCTCCCCATCTCCCCTTCCTTAGGAATGAGTAAGCAGGGTTTGGCTGGCACCGCCTCGTGCCTGTGGTTGTTCTAGCTGACTCCCCAGACCGTCCAGGGTACACAGTTCGGAGCTTGGATACAATTCACTTACCATTAGATCATATTTCCCTCTGTCATTAAATATTCTTGGAAAACATGACTTTTAAAGGCTGCTAACCTTGCCAGGACCATCTGCCTACTTGATGTTGGCATTCAAGCTGGCAGACTTCCTGTCCTCCTCGTCTTGGACCCATCCAGCGGAGAATGTACACCCACATGTGTCTGTTTGCTGGCATTCCAGGTCATGCGCTAGGTCCCCACAAGGCTACTGCTTTGAATCTAGGCTTCTAAATATCAAAACATGATAGACATAGGGGCCAGCCCGGTGGCAGAGTGGTTAAGTTCACACACTCCGCTTCAACAGCCTGGGATTCGCAGGTTCAGATCCTGGGCGTGGACCTACATACCACTCATCAAGCCCTGCAGTGGTGGCATCCTGTATACAAAGTAGAGGAAGATTGGCACACATGTTAGCTCAGGGACCATCTTCCTCAAGCAAAAAGAGGAAGATTGGCAACAGATGTTAGCTCAGGGACCATCTTCCTCACACACACACACACACACACACACACAAAAACATGACAGACATAAAAAGAAGGGGAAAAAACCCCTACAATAAAAGTTATTGAGGCCCTGAAGTTCAAGCCTTTCAGCCCAAATTTACCTGCCCTTGAGATATTTCCATTCAGTTTAGTTCAGATAGTGGAGGAGCCAATGAACTTTCTTTCCTACAGCAATGGTGATGGACATCCAGCACGCAGGCCCAAGAAAACGATATGACAGGATCCTAGAATATAGATACTTTAAAAAAAAATTATATTTACCACACATAAGATATATTTATGAAGCAGATGCCCAATACAACATAATAAAAAAGTACTTAGAATATAAAGTATTTAAAATAAGGCAGTTTTCTACCTATTTAAATAGACACTGAATATTAAAATTATCACCAAGCTCCTCGCCTCTCAGCAATTTTTACGAGTGAGAGTCAGCTTTTTAAATCCGCAAGGCAGTGGTCAGGTGGAAACCTCCTTCACGTATTTCCATCTTCAGATAGGTCTGAAAAGAGAAGGGCCTGTTGCTCCCCTGCCTGGAGCACTCATTACAGATTATGAGAGAGTCAGACCAGGATAATAATGGCCTTATTTGTCAGGCATGTACTAGGTCCCAGGCACCGCACAAGGCATTTTCATGGAAAACTGTTGCCACCCCTTCCTGGCAGTATTTTGGGCCCAAAATGTAAAGGGGAGGGCTGCTTAGCCGCATAATGCAAGAGCTGAGATTTAAGAGTCCAGAACAGAACGTGCAGCCAGTAAACAATATCCCAAAGCCACGGTCCCTGAGCCCCCTGCCCTCTACATGGGTATTTCAAACATACGAGAAACCCACCACCCTCTCTGTCACTGGTTGTTCCCGAGAGCTGTCTCGCCAGCTTCTGCTCGTCTCAACCTGGTGCTGCCGGTAGACCTAGACAGACACAATAGGGAACGTTGGCAGTTCCCTTCTCTCTGTTCTGTGGCAGAGTGTGTTTCCAAAGGTGGCCACAGGAATACGTCCCCACCACATGCTCTTCCAGAACCTTCCTCAAGAGGTGGGATGTGATTCCTTTCCTCGAGAGGCAGGCTTGAGACTTGCTTATGACCAAAAGCATGCAGCTAAAGTGCCACACCAGGTTTCCAAAGCTGGGTCATAAAAAGGTGAGGCAGTTTCCATCTTGTGGTTGGAATCCTGAGCCCAAGAGAAGAAGTCCGACCCTCTGAGGCTGCCCTGCTGAAAGAAAGCTCAGGCCTCACATAGTTGTTTTGGCCAACAGTGCCAGCCGAATTCCCAGCTGATGACCAGCATCAACTTCTACAAATACAAACGAGTCTTTGGATGACTCCAGCCCTCAGCATGGCATCAACACCAGCCTTTCCATCTGCGCAGCTGAGGCCCCAGACTCAATGAAGCAAAGACAACGCAGCTCATCAGATGTCTCTACAACAAGGACATGGAAGGCACACTTGTTACTAAATGCTGTCACTTCTAAGAGTATTTGTGATAAGTCAGTGCTCAAGAAAACTGTGTTTCCTTGAAATCTTACAGCCCACACGTGAAAGAAACTTGATGAAAATAAGGAATAAGTGGCCCAAAAGCTGCAGAGTTCCTAGCTCCGTGAAAAAGCTGGATTGGAGAATGTGGTTGGTCCCAGAGGCCAACCTGGAGGCTCCGAGCATCACCACCCAAGTCCAGGCCATGGACCTGCCGGAGGGGAGGCTGGGTCTGCTGCGCACTCTGTAAAATGCTATGCCTGGCCCACAGGTCCTGCAGATGGCAGGAAAGAAATGGACTGTGAGAGAGAATGAGTCTACCCCAGAGATGCTTGTCCTCTGGAAAGGCAGCAGAGAGCAGCCCTGGCCATACCTAAAGGAGTGAGATGATAGTGGTGTGCACGTGGGTGAAAGAGAACATTGATGAAAACAAAATGGTGGCCACCCTTGTAAATGCGGCTCAACATATTCAGGCTGTCACCAGTCTCCCCAGTCAGACACGACATGGCTTCTCCCCGGGGGGCAGGTCAGTAAGTTGGGTGGAGAAAAACAAAGCGTTCACCCCAACACTGCCAGAGATGGGGGGCAGGAAATTGCCTCCCCTCGAGGTGGCCTTGAGAACAGGGGAAGGAAATCCCCACACGGACACCATGTTAAAGGATTTTAGGTACTGTTGGTCCACCGTTCTCTCTAAGACATTGTGTTAAAGTGGTTTTCACGACTCACTCTCTCCTGAACGAGTGGGCTCACAGATTCTTGGGAAGGGAGACCCAAATTAGGAGGAACACCTCCCACACGTCCACAACTCAAGGCCTCTCAACTGCTCAGAGCGGGAGCACGTGGCTTGTGCTGGGAGGGTCTGCACTGGGCTTCCTGTGCTCCTTTCTCTTTCCTGAAGGAAGAGCTCTCTGAGGACAGAGCAGGCCTGGTGCTCTCTCCCCCGGCCACACGCTACTTGGCACAAAGTGAGAACTCCTTCTGGTGGAGCGTTGACTATGGCCGAAGGGAAGATGGCGGTCATTTGACACAATGGGAGAATAAGGGGAATGCACTGCCTGTCACTAGGAGGAAAGGGACAGTGGAACACACACAGCAAGGCTCGCCCCAGACACACCTTGGTTTCCTTGGAAGCCAGTTAGACAGAGGAGGGGGCGCCATCAGGCTGCTTTGTGGGGTCTCCTCTCCTCCTGTTTCCTCTTCTGGGCACCAACCCTCCACGTGTTGCGCCCAAGCCCATCTTAGATGGGAAGCTGAGGCTGAGCAGGTAAGCGGAAGGCAAGCGTGTTGGGGCAATTATGCGTCTAGAGCTACCGCCAGATGGAACAACAAAAACCAGGGACTGGACTTTTTAAATAAAAGAATAAACACTTCTCTTCTGTTGGCAGTTTCTAAGGGCCGCCCCTCCCCTGTTTCCCTAAGAAACACCTTCAGGCTCCGGGCAGGTGACAGCAGCTCCTGTTCAGACGTCTGATCTTATCTGTTACCAGCAACAGCTTTGTCCTTAGAGCCTGGTCCAGTTACTCATGTGCAATAGGTGCTCCATCCACGCGAGTGAATCAAGGGAACCCTAAGTAGCTCATGTGGATTTTAAGACCCTTGTCCACCTCTCACCCTGAGCCTCCGGGTCTCAGGGTTTTCATGGTCCCCATGAGCATGACAAATGCCTCCGGTGACCAGGTCACAGAGCCATCTCTGCACGTGATGAGTGTGGCCAGCAAGGTGGACGTCTCCCCACCTAGCCTCATCTCATCCACGCGCTCAGAAGTTGAAGGGGCTCCCAGCACCTAAGAGAAAGCTCAGACTTTCAAAGCTGTCAGCCTTTGCATAGCAGCTCCTTCCGGCTTCGTTGGCTGGAGTGAGGCCACCGGAGGCCTCTTGACCACAGGCTCCCTGAGTGTGGAATTGCAGCTACTGAAGGAATCTCCCACTTGCTGCAAGGGCAGCTTCCAGCACATGCTGGGCCTCATCCTGATGAATTTTCAGCCTCTGGCAAATACATGCTGGAGAGAACACTTTATCCACAAGCCACTTGTTTCGTCATTTGCATCAGCCGGCTTCCCCACCATTGCCCAATTGCCCAGGGTTCCTGCAGGCCCCGCTCCAGCCCTGCTTCCCACAGGCAATCCACCCGTTGGCGAGGGCAGGGCAGGGGCCCAGGAGCCCCAATCTGATCTACTCATTCATTGACAACAGCCCTCTTGCTTACACCATTCCACGTCCCTCCAATAATCACATATGGGGACAGGAAGATAAAAGATAGCCTGTAAAGAGACGAGTGACGCATTGACAGGTGCCCCCCTGCACCGCCTCTTTCCTCCCAAAAAGAAGAAAATGGATTCATCCCACCAATGAATTAACTACTGTGTACTATGCACGTTCGAGGACTGGGGACACAGCAGGGAAGAAAGCAAGGGGGACTTGCAGCCACTCTTTCTCCCGGTTGTACCACTGGCACCTCCTGGAGAGCAGCTGGTTGCAGTGCTGTGCCTGCCGTATCCCTCAGACATGACCTCTGTGACATTCATCTCTAATATCCTAGAGTGTCTGACTCATCCAGCCACCCTGATTCTTCCTGCCAGCTGTGGTGACATGGCTAGGCAGCAAATCTTGGGAGCTCCCAGCCACAGAGGGAAAAGTCCAAGCACCCCACAATTTCCAGGGGACCCTGCAGCCTTGGCTTGGTGGCAGACAACTGGGAAGTTACACGCTGGGCAATCACTGGCAGCCCAACCACCTGTGCTGCCAGCAGCGGATGAAAACCCTAATCCTGCCGTTCTCCGTGACTAAAGGTCATGAACATAGTTATAATGCAGGTACAGTGAGGACAGGCCAAAAGGAGGACATCTGGGGCCACTTTTAACTCCTGGTAAAAAAGGTCTATGTTTTTCTGGCAGGTCCCAGCCACTTCCAGTCCCAAGGCCACGGGTTCAAGCTGGCACCTTCCTTCTCTTTCATCCCTGCAAACAGAGCAGACTTGATTGAAGCCAAATATTCTCATTTCTGAAGGTCTTTTCAGTAAAGCCTGAAACTCATCCTTTCAGGTCTTAGGACCCGAGGGAAGCAGCCAGCACCTGCAGCCGGGGAGGCGGGAGGTCCTGTGCATCCTCAGGTCCTGGAAACACAAGAGTGTTTCCATGCCTGGCTGCCTGGCCAGGTGGAAAGACGCCCCAAAGCAGTGTTTGGACAAATGCGCTGCTTTTATTTCCATCCCAAAGGCTACGGAACTCAAGGTGAGAGCCGTCAGCCCATCCAGGTGGCCTGTAAAAAATCAAAGCCAAGGTCAGAGCACACGTGCTCCCTTCCACGGGGGGCATTCGCTCCAGAGGGCCCTGCGAGGGCAACAAGTGGGCAGCTCAAGTCCATCGCCCAATTGATTAATCCAAGCTCACTTTCCCTCCTCAGGAACCTCACAAGGATCTGAGGTTCCAGGCCTGGTCCTGGTGCCCAGGGATGCCCTGTCTAAAGGGCTTGCTGGCTACTCCTTATTTTCAGTTATCCATTTAGTGCCAACCGAACCGGGGCTGCCATGTGACTACAGTAAGCTGTTAAGAGCAGGGCAACACGGTTTCAAACAGACACCCAGGCACCTGTTTTTCTTGTTAAGTAAAAACAAGTTAATAGTCACAGCAAAACCATGAAAGAAAACCGCAAGTGACCTAAGGATTTCTGACTCACCGCCCAGCCTGAGCACTTGGTGACATTCCACCAAAAGCCATCAGCCACCTGCAGCGGCACTGAGAACTGCTGATCAGCAGTCCTTTTGTCTCCTAACTCGGGTAATTACCCATGTGTGCCTGCTCCCAGATGGCTCTCGCCTTTAGATTAAAAAAAAAGAGAGAACAACAAAAAAAAAACCCACCTTCCCCCTCCGAAGCCCAAGTGACTAAGAAAAGCTGGCAGGGACCCTCCCTAGACCATAATTGTGGGAAACCTCTTGCAAAACAGTTTTTCTGCAAGATAAACTGTGTCTGTTCCCAGCAGCCAAGTGCCACACCCGCAAGAATGGGTGAGAGATTTCCTCTAAGAAACCTCGAGAAAACATCGAGAATGCTCACTCCTCTGTGCCCTGGGAATAGATGTGAAGAGTTACTTACACCTTGAGAAAGATACTCTTCTTTTTTCTTTTGTTGTCTTAAAAAAAAAAAAAAAAAATACAGCCCCCAGGATGGGCACCACATACACACGATTCTGGAAACTGGGGTTAGTGAGCTCCAACTCAGTCCTGTACTCAGTCACCTCCCGTGAGCGGAGGGTCTGCCACACGCCAGGCACAAGTCAAGGCCCTTTCCTTGCTAGCTGGGCCAACGGCCACAAGCCCAGCTGTCCGAGAGCACAGGGGCCAGCCAGGCCCCACAGCCATGGCAGAAGAGGCAGCCAGCATGCAAGTTGCCACGCTCTGTGTCACATAGCTCAGGTCGCATGGTCACACCCGGCGGGAACTGGGCCCGGGCCACCAGCCAAAGGCTGCCTTCCTTGGGCTGGACGACAAGCTCAGTGGGCCATGAAGTTTCCCTGTCGCCGAGCAGTGCCCTGGGGAGGACTGGAGCCCTCTGACCCCATCAGAGTCCTCCACTCAGGGTCTGACAAGAGCATTGAGGTCACAGCAGGGGCAGGAGAATGGACGGCCCCACCGCTGTCTGCCCGTGGTTCAGCACTGCCCGTGGGCTCTGCAGCCTCCTTTCCCCCGCCTTGCTGTACCCTGCGCCCGGCTGGGCTCCCTGTGAATCCCCAGACCACCCAGACGCCCAGAGAACACCACTGCTCCCTGACAGCTGACGGTGGGCACAGCGCTCAGGGCCTCCCAGCCAAGTCAGCTGCTAGGGATTCAGAGAAGACACAGAGGATGGGAGAATGAAGGGGCTGCCTGGGGTGCCACGGTGAGGAGGGGCTGGGGTTCCAGACCCCACGTGCAGGGGCTGCGCTGCATCACACCTGTGGTGTAAGCTCCATCTGAGGCCACGAGAAAACCTCTCTCTGTTCGTGGAAGAATCTCTCCCTCGAGGGTCTCTCCACCTACTGAAAGTCCCTCCTTAGAAGCATCCCAGGGACTCTAGGTGGTTGGTCTCTGGTCCCCTTTTGATTATTCTGTGGGATGAGGCACAAGAAAGGAGATATTTATCCAGCCCCTTCCAAGCTTCTTTACTGCATCTCCAATACAGGACCTTTCAATGTAGGATCACAGCCAACTTAGAGGTGGGAGTTCCCTGAGCCCATTTTACAGATGAAGAGCCTGAAGCTGGGTGAGTTCACGTAAGGCTGGCAGGGCCACGCAGGCTGCGGTTGGAGCACCAGCTCAATCCATGAACATCAGACACAGCCGCCCGTTACGTTGTGGCATCACACGCTGGCATGCACACTGTTTCTTACTTTCCTGCTGGCACCCGGCCGAGGCCAGCACACTGGAGAAAAAGGAGCCTGGAGGGTCTAATGCTTGACCCTCTGCCCCAGGGTGGTCCTCAGCCCGGGGCGTCTCCGGAGAAGGTGGTGGTGGGCGGTTCAAAGCAGCTTTTACCCCCCGGGAGGACGCCTCCCTGGGTACCGTCTGTCCCTTCAGGTCCCTGTCACCAACACTGGCTGGTGTACAGCTGGCTGCACATGTCATGTTTTTAGCTAAGACATTTCTACAAATCTTTTTTATGGATATTTAAAAGAAAGAAACCTAAATTTGAGAATCTTAATGTTCCACTTCTGCATCAGAATCTACGGCATCCCTGAGGCTCTGAACTCAGCAGTGAGCAGGATAAAAAAATCCTTCGAACCTGAAGGAAAGAGGAAAACCATCTCAGAAAACCAACACCCTTCTCTAGACACCCTCCAGATCGCCTGCCCAGAGCCTACACACTTAGAAGGACGTGTAATGTGACGACTGCGGCAGTCCCTGCAGGGAGCGTGCAGCCTGGGCCTGAGTGTGCCCAGGACACGTTGGCTGTTGATCAGAAGCAGAGAAAAGCCAGAAGCAATAACAGCCAGTGCCCAGGAGTCTGTCCACCCACTAGACATTACTGCTTGTCACAACGTGGGTGATTTATATGACTTTTACCTAATATACAAAGTCTTTAAAACCTGGGTGCTCTAAAGGTGAAAATAACAAGCCTTTTAATAAAGACTCTATGAAGCCCAGAAAGTGTGTGGCATGTTCTAGAAGCGTTTCTTCCCAGGTATCATATTATTGTTGTTCTTGTTCCCACAGGGTGAGTGGGAACAAGGTAAATTCTTAATATTCCTTCACTTTCTTCCTCCTTTTTGGCCCAGAGCTCTTCAAGTAACAAGTCAAATCTCAACCTCTCTCTCCACCTCAGGAATGAAAGGCAGCAAGTGAAATGCAAACTGGACCCTTTGGACACCTCCACCGTCCCCAGCTGAGGGTGCTGACAGGTGCCGCCAGCCTCACCCATCTGCACTTGGAAGAACTGTTCTGGAAAGCAATTTGGCAATCTGGGTGGAGGGCCTTGAAAAAGGAGTTTATACCCTTCTACCTGGCAATGATCCTCTGGCAACTCATTAGCAAGAACGAGTCAGAAGCCTGGATTTATTTACAAAGATGTGCACTGAAGCTTCACGTATAGTTGTAAAAAGTTGTAAAAAGTCCATTTGTCTCCCAACATGGGGGTGGTCAAATAACTTACAGGACATCCGCAAGATGGGAGAAACAGCAGCAATTTCAAAATGGTGTTTTTCAGGGCTATTTAATGATGCGAAACACAGTTAAGCTACAATATTAAGTGAAAAATTAAAGCTATAAGCTATAACTAGTTATATACACAACGAATTCCAAAAGTATAATAAAATCACACCTATGTGTGTGTATACATATAACTGGAAAGAAACATAACAAAATGCCAAAAGTTGCTATCTCTGCCTGGTGAGATTATGGTTCTTTTTTATTTTCTCCTTTGTGCCTTCATTATTTTCTACATGCTGTGTTTATAATTTTAAAAAGCCATTGATCAGAAATTTCCACCAAAAATGACAAGAAAAAAATGTTCCGTCGTTAACAGCACAAGTTTGGAACCATAGGAAAATTCCCCATGTGGAACTTCGGTTCCATGCTGCCCTGGTCAGTCTCTGCCTCGGCGGAGCCAAGCTCGGCGTGCGGTGCCAGCCTCCCATCCCTGTTTGCAAGAAACAACGGGGCAGGAGCTAAGGCTGGGAGGCAAAGGACTGCAGTAATGCTTGAAACGCACCCAAAATGTCTCAGCTCACCTGACTGAGAGCATCCACTTGTTTTTCGTGTCTTTCAAGATTTTTTCAAGGCTGTAATGGGTTAAAGGAGAAGGTTGTATAATTACTCTGTTTACATTGGGAGATTTAAGAAAAAAAATGTATCAGGTATAAACCACAGGATACATGAAGGTGCCGAAGATGCTCATCCACCGCCACGTGGAGCATGACGATGACCACAGCCTCCCTGTCCCGCGACAGCTCTGATCCATGGGCAATTCCACCTGCAGCGTTGGTGGAAGCTTCTGAATCTGCCAGGGCTGCAAGAGAGAGGAGGCCAGACTGACGAGCCCTTCTCCCGCGGAGGCAGCCAGCAGGGCGGGGCAGGTGTGTCTTCCCTGGTCAGCACCTACAGAGCACCGATCACCTGTCCCTGACATGGTGGCGTGCGCCTGCGTCATCATCCACATGTCCCCAGGGCTATCCCATCTGTCTTCCTTCAGTATCTCTTCAAACGATTGGTCTGCAGAGTCGGCCAGACCTCGTGGTACAGGGGGCGTGAAGGGTGGGCTCCTGCCACTGCAGGACAACGTGACGGGCGCCCTCGGCCTCTGCTGCTCTGTGGTGCCAGGGTCTACAAATACAACTCTGACCGCTGCCCTTCCAGACTTCGGAATTTGAGACAGTTACACAAGATGGTGAGTGAGGGCTTTGAAGAGTGCAAAAGCTGTGTATCTGCAAGTTATTTTGATTTTCTTTTTAATTTTTTCAAGCCATAGAAAACAGTAAGCCTAAGGATATAGTCATTAGTGACTGCAGATAAGAGTTGATCAGTTCCTGCCTCAAGCGAGGACGCGGGATGGGGAGGAAGGGATAACAGGAGCTCAGAGGAGTCCCCTCTCCTAAGAGGAGAACCTGGGGGTGGCGGAGGGCAGGCAGAGGGAGTGGGGAGGCTTGGGTCAGCTAATGACAGTGGTCCGGGGGGCGGGCAGAGGAGAGCCAGGGCCTGCGAGCACTGTTCTGGAGAACCTGGCAGGGAGGACACCGGAGGGAGGAAACAGAATGGGGATGCCCAAAGGCCGCTGGGGAGTGCGCGCCTGAGTGACAGAGGAAATGATGGAAGGCTCTTTGTTGTGTGCTCCACGCCCCCAGCATCCTGTAAGGATTTCAGACGGTGGGTTTGGGACCGGAGCTTCTCTGGATGCCATGTTCCGGGAAGCTAGTGACAGGGCTGAGCTGTGCGACGCTGCCCAGGGCTTTCCTTCCTCAAGCACGTAAGGCGCAGGCCCTGGTCACCAACGTGCACTGTTGCCGGCAATGATTTTCACCTCACAGCGCTGAGAGCAGGAAGGACATCTAGACCCGTATTTCCCACTCTAGACTCCCATCACCACACACAGGGGGTCTGTGGTCCAAAAGTGGGTGGAAATGCTCGCTGGACGCCCTGAGCACTTTTCTCCCTGCAGACATCGTCAGAGCTCTAACAGGCTCGTGAATTCTGTGAGTGAAAGGACACGGAGGGCGCGTGCTCCCGACACACTGGACCAGAGAAGCTTTTAGGTGAGACGCCTATCAGCATCTGGAACACCGTATCCTGTTCTGCATTTTAAGGAAGAAGAAAGAGAAGCAGAAAGGTTGAAGGACCTGCCCGAGGTCACGCGACCAGCTCACTGTGAGTCAAGAGCAGCCCGAGACCTGTGTCTACCCCCTCCAGAGGCACCTGGCCCGGGTCTCCTGCCCACCCGCCCAGGTCACCTCCCAGCATTCCACCGAGTTCTCCTCATGCACCTCCCTTCCATATGACCCCAAACACAATGCTATGAGGGTAAATTTTGTAACTAAACCTTAAACCATGAGTCCCACTGCTAAATAGACGTGTTGATCACATATCGTTTGGAATTACACTGCAGCTCGCCTCAGCACTGACTTATGTGATGGGCCCATCCAGTAGGAGCTGACAGAATAAGAGAATGGAACCAAAATGGTGGGTTTTAAAACCGCTGAGGAATCCCCGCTCACTCTCACCTCAGGAAACCATACATCACTCCTCTGCCATGGCTCACGGTAAGACGAGGACAGATGAGAGCCCCCTGCAGTGGTCCAGGATGGAGGGCGAGCCCTGGAGGGCAGTGTTTTGTTCAGCATCCTTGAAAGAAGGCTGTTTGCTGTGAGCTTTTTTTTAAAAGCTTGTCTGGGCATAATCAAAGTACCAATGAGCTTGTCCT